AATATAAAATATGTAGACGGGATTCTGCTTCCATCTGAACAATTATTAATATAAAATATGTAGACGGGATTCTGCTTCCATCTGAACAATTATTAATATAAAATATATAGACACCATGGTGTTGCTATCAAAAGAGATTTACTATTATAAAATATGTAGACTGGATGCTGTTTCCATGAGCCAAATTAATAAGCCTTTTATTATAATTACACTTGAATATAACTTTCAATGAAAGTCATAAGTGTAATTGTGAAAATGTTCAAGTTTAATTAAAGAAAAAACAATTGTTCCTTCAAATGGTGAGTTATAAATCAGCTTTGTGTAAGAGATATTTTAAAGCATAATAAAAAAAAAATTTCTTTTAAGAATATTAGATTTCTTCTTTTATTGAACCAGGACTTTGATAACTGGCTACAAGCATTTCAAGAAGCGGCTTCAGATACATTTGCTGATCAAGACCTATTTGAAAAGGAATCATTAAAGAAGTCCAGCCAGGATCAGCTTTACCTGGAAGCCTCTGAACATCAAAATGTAACCAAAATGTTAGAAAAAGAATTAGAAACAACTGGGACCAAGCTAGCTGAGACTATAGAAGCAAAAATGGCCTTAGAGAAACAAGCTAGTCATTACAGATCTCTACTTGTACAAGTGGTAAGAAATTATATTAATGGTTAAGTTATATGAATAGAACATTACTGTTTTAATGGCTTATAAATTATCATAGGATTTTTAACCAGTAAGGTGAGGTAGGTGCCTTTCATTTTGAAATGACAACCAATATAACTAGAAAATAAAGCGGATTTAAACCTAATGAATTCCTCAACAACTTAGTGTCACAGAGTATGATATATAATATTTAATTTCTTTTGTTACATCTCCATTTTAGAAACTTAGTGCTGTTATTTTTTGTTTTTATTAAAACTTTGTGCTTATATGAAGCAGAATTCTGTGCTAATGCAGCTTCTGAATATAAATGTGAACTGTAAAAACACTTCATCACAACAACTTTAGAAGTAAATCCTCTATCCAAGTAGGTTGTCAGGTAACCTGTAAATTACATGTACTGTCTATAGAGTAAATAAAGTTATAAGAAAATAGGCAAGTATTGATAGAGGTTTGAATATATTTCAACATGTAAACCTGAATAAGTGAAATGGAAGCAAGAACAGAAATAGAAACAAAGGCTGATGGAACATACAGCACTAAGATAATTTATTTTAAAAATAAATTTGCCAAAGTCTGAAATGTAACTTGCATATAGCTACAAAAAAGAAACCAATTTGTACGACAATGAGAAAAATGTGATTACATTGTATGTAAATATAAGCCAAACATAAGGGTGAAAAATTCTTTTTGTTTTGTTTCATGAAAAAATTAGATGTAATTAGTTTTGGACAGTATGTTTGGACTGAATTACAATTTCTTTATTTGCTTTCACAAAGCAAACATTGTTATTAATCACTAATTGATTGTGTTCATTATCTTCTTGTGAAGTTTTTCTGCTTGAAACATTTATTGGACCTGTTGAGTGTGAGGCAATCTTCATTCATTATTTTTGAAGTTTGTATCTTTGTAATACAGACTGAATGAGTACTGCAATTTGAACTGTTGTTTATTAGTTAATAAAAGGAAAATTATAAGTCTGTTCAATTTTTGTGTGTATTTTGTGGAATAGTGAAGAGGCAATTAGACTTTTAAGAAGAACAAGTAGAGTTCAATATCATTTAGTTCCTGGAACAAGCTTTTAACAAAAAGTAAGCTTCCCTTTGTATAGATATTTTTTCAGTTCATCCTTCTCAGGTTGAATATGCTAAATACATTACTGTTGGACATTCCAATAGATAAATAAGAGGTTACACATTTTATGGTATCACCTGACCTACCAGTGGAAAACATTGCTGCCTGCTTTCATGGCAGTCTTTTGATGAGAAGATGCACTTGATGCCATAGAAAAATGATACAGAACAATGGTTATCTGGGGCAAAAGGAACTTAGCCACATTCCTTGGCCATTGTTTCATGTAACCTTACATATACATGTATGCATGAAAATTTAGAAAAGTTTTTGGTGAACTATACGTGTATGCATGAAAATTTAGCAAAGTTTTTGGTGAACTTTACGTGTTCACATTACTAAATAAATGAAATAGAAAACACCTAGTATGCTTGCATGGGACAAATGTTCGTGTTAAATTAATTAAGGAAAGTTAACAAATAACTTCCACTTCTAAGGGAACAATTTCTTTCCTTGTTTGATATCATCTGTCAATTTTTGGTGAAGATGTCTTTGCTATTTAATCCATATATATTAGGCAAAGAATATATCCTGGGGTGAAATACTAAAATACTATCTGTCTTCGTGTCGGTGATAAAAGTGGCATTATTGTCTTTACGATTTGGATTTTTGCAATTTCTGTTCTTTGGATTTTTTTAAGTTGTTGATAAGAGCCTTAAAATACTGCTTTTTAAAGAACTTTATAACATATTTGCATACAAAAAAGAAAATCATAAAATTGATGACTTTCTAACTTACTGCAAGTTAGAAAAAGTGCTGGAGTGGTGTTGAAACTTTACAACATTCCAATTGGACACTCCAACATCAGTCATAGCTCATCTAAATTTCAATTGTTTTATTGAGTAAAAAATAATATATATTACTTAATTTTTTTATTTTGAAAATCACAAAGGATTTGAAAAAACAAAAATCCCTTTTGCATATAATAATAATTATGGGAAAACATTTTGATATCCAAAACACCTTCCATAGAGTCTCCCTCATCAAATCCACTTGTTTCAAGTGTTGAGTGATGTCTCTGGTTTATCCAACATTTTACATATGAATCTAGTTCATTCACAAAGGAGGGCCATTGAATTTGATATTAAGAGTCAAAACACTTTTAATGGAAAGAGTGTTTAAGTTTTGGTTGTTATAAAGTTAATTTGACTAAATTCATGCTCGTATTCAGGCGTCAAAACTGGAATGGTACATTTTTTTTATTTTGAAGATTTTCATCTATGACTTTACCCCTGGTTTCTTTGAACTCTCATAACAAACAGATGATTTGTTTAGTTTGAAGACAAAACCATTTGTGAAGAGAGGCCATTTCTTCCTCACCATAACCGATGAAGACTTCATCTGGTCAAAATTTCTTGTGAAGAACCTTAACTTTCATAGTATAAGAATGGTATTCATTCTGTTCTGAAGTTTCAACTGAGTTGTTATTCTTCTGTTTCTGTTGAGGTGATCTGGTTGATAGAAGGCATCGTTTGAGATTTTTTTGTATGCTTCTCAGAAAATATTTTCCTATCAATTTCAGCTACACATGTCCATCCTTCATGGAGTTTTACATTAAAAAATTTTTCCTATCAATTTCAGCTTCAAAAAACTTTTTGCTCCTTGCACTGGGTTTACCATCATAATTTAAATATCTTTGTTTGGTGACAAATTAAACTGAGGCATCCATTAATGAGACTTCTTATTAGAATTCCATACAGTTTACTCATTTCCTGATGAGAATCATACGTAATACCAAAATTTTTCATGAATTACACTGAAGAGAATCATAATTTTAATCCATTATAAGTTACTCTTTGTTTTGGGTCTCTTGAGGTGTCTTCTGAAGCTTCAGAATAATGCTTGTAGGTGTTCCAGACAGTTTTCATAGCATTGAAACTGGAAGCCACCCATCTTGTTGGTGGATACCAGTCTCTACTTTTAAAATCTGAACTTCTATTGCTTTTGCACATTCTGAAAGCTGTCTCTGATTTTTGGGAGAAACATGATAAGTACTCTACAATTTGTCCATAAACATTTTGAAATTATTCATTCCAGAAACTTTCTTAATGGTGTCGGCAACAGAAAGTTCTGATCTGTGCCAAATAACAAGATTTGGAAAGTTTTGATGTAGTGAGTTGCTACTCCAGATTTTACACCCAGCATTGTAGAAGTATCATCTGTACAAATAACTATGAGTCTATGTTCAATAATGGCTTCATCAAAACAAGATGCTTAGCCTGACTGTGAAGAAAACATTAAAATTGTGCAATTTCAGTTGTTTGTGAAATTTGCAAAAATAATATACTTACCATGATCTGTTGAACCCAGTGTCACATCAAGAGTTAACAACGGTTTGTAAGAATAGATGAGATGAAGTGTTCTACATACATAGATATGCTTGGTGGAGTTCATGCTGGTACTGCATTCCGACAGCCAAAGCCAAATTAGTGCCATTATTGTGTTATGTTGCATTCCACCTGAATTTCACCCCTGAATATATTACTAAACCAACATTTAATTAGTGTGCACACAGTATTGCACTTAAAGAATACTATTTTTGGTATGTGCAAGTGTTCTGTATCTTTTGTTGGCTTTGTGAAAAGGTATATTTGTATACAGTTAATTAAATCAGCTGAATGATTTGAAATAATCCCTAATATGCCATTACTTTGCTGTCAGGAGGAATTTCTTGCCAGGCTCCAGGAAAATGCAGCTAAAGAAGAACAGAGCTGGACAGAGAGACTAGCTGCCAAAGATAAGGAAATAGAAAAGGTGTTTTTTTTGTTTCTTTTAATGGGATTAATGCATGTTTCAGCAAGGCATTATGGTATTACAAGATACAAATTAGTATCCTAATTAATTTAAGGATACTAAAATATTCCAGAACTTAATGTGTCCAAATTAACAAATAATCCAGTTCTATTAAACCAATCAACTGCATTTGTGGTATGGAGCAAATTTTTCATCTTACGGTATTTGTTTCTTACTTTAAAGTGTTTAATGTATTTATATATATGTATTATTTAAAAAAAATAAGTAGCATTTTTAGTTAGGTGATAGGAAACAAAAGTATTAGGGTCAGAAAAAATCCAGGAAAAAAGTAGAAAAATATTTATAGGTGTGTGTCTGTTAACCTTTTTAATCATGGTTAATAATGTTTGGTATTAATCCTTATGTTAATGGTAGAACCTGTGGCTAGCTGAGTATAGGTATTTAGGTGATACTGAAGGGATCACCCTCATATAAGTTATGCAGCTTTGTAGTTAGATGAGTGTAGTATCTTGGTTGGATGTTACTGAAGGGATTAACCCTTAAGTATGTGATGGAGCATGTGGCTAGCTGAGTGTAGTGTCTTGGTTAGATGATAATGAATTACAATTTTGAAATCTATAAAATAATAAAAATGCATTCTGGTGGAGTAATTAACATCTAGATAAGTAAGTTCTTATAATAATAATAATATATAAAATAAATTATCCAAACATGATAATTTTGTCACTTTGGAGTTCCCATTACTCATTCATTTTATAAAGTCTCATGTGGATCATTGGAGTAAAATAATTAAGTAAATGAAGTAAAAAGACCAGTTTGAGACATTTTAATTATTATTCTACCCAGTTTTAAGTTTATCCTAAAAAAGTCGGTTATAAAAGTAAAACTCAAAACTGATATCTTGTGTAAAAATGTAGAAATAACAAACCCGCTTTTACTGATTTTTAGCTTTTTATATTCACTGTGATTTAGCTTAAAAGAAGGTACATCTTAAAAGTGAAAGATTATAATAAAAACATTTTTTTTTTTAGAAATTAAACAACAGTCTGACAGAGGAACACCTGAAGACAAAAAAACTTCTCCATAGGATTTTTCCAACAGTTAATGTGAATGATCAGTTGGTATGTGCTGTTATACAAAGTAATCTGCTGATGCATTGAGTATATACGTCATAGTGTAAATATATAAAGATTATTGAGAGAAGGGATAGAAACATTCTATCATTTTTGTTTATTAGATAACACTCTAAAGTGACTTAAATGTCCAAAAAATATATTCCAAAAATTTGAATAGCTTTCTAAAGAGTGGTGGGGTGGGGCGTTTTCCTTAACTGGTTATTGTGCCTTGACTATGAATCCAATAGACTCGTG